GTATCACTAAAATGACCAAATGTACATTAATACAATAGGCACAACCACCACTATCTGCTGGTAAACAACTACGTATATTTCTTGTAAGTGGTGACAGAGTCCTTATAAAGGAAGTACAAGAGTAAGTTATGATTAATTAATTTTATTACTTGTATTGTAATAACCAATTTTAATAGAGTACTACGAGAATTAATAACTGATGAACAACTTATTCCAGGGGTATGAGTAATATTAATAGAAATAGATAATTAAGTGCATATTTCAGGATATCTATCCTGATGAAAAGAATTCCAATTTGATGCCACAAGTCCCACCACTTAAAATAGAAGAAGCAACAGAACTCAAAGAAGAAGTAGCAAGTGCATTAGCAACAGTTTAAAAATTTAGATCTACGTATGATTAATAGTCTACACTGTAGTTATTGTAGTTAATATATACGTACATGTAATGCTAAAGCTGACAGTAGTATAGTTTGTACTATCATTATTGTGTTGTTTGGCATTAAAAACTAGTAAAAGTAGCATTTGATATACTGACAAATTGTCATGATTGATGTCATTGTAATCTACTATGCTTAGTTGTAATTGAACCAACGTTGTATACTACGTCACCTAAGTATAAACTAAAACTTGACCCTGGAGACAAAATGAAGCATTAGTTATGATGAAAATAAGATTTGTGAAGATCATACAAAAAGAAAAGACGCTGAAAGCAAAGGAATTGAATACTAGTACATCCGGTTACTGTAGTGTTAAATTGTGAACTTAATTAATAATTGTAAAGAAATAGAGAGAAGACAAGATTACAATAATAGCATCACATCTCATTAGAAGGAGAATTAAAAATAATATTTAATATAATAATAGTTAACATGAGTAATGCAGTATCAGAGAGTACCAGTGGATCCTAATTTAGTGAGATCCATTGAACTAAATGAATGTCCATATCCTAATGCTTGTCTTTTAGTGGGAGGAGCTCTCATTGGAGTAGGAGGAAAAGGAGGAGCTACTGATAGTGTACAAGTATTGAGAGTAGAATCCTATGAGAGGAGAGAGAGGGAGGGAGGGTATGTCACTCATAGTATTCTTACTAATACTATATTACTTACAAGATCAGTAAATGATTCATCCATTGTGTCTAACTGATCAACATTTTTACTAATAATATAAATACAATATGTACCACAATAATATCATAATATGTCACTAGTCTCTCTCTATACAGTATATCTATAAGTACCTCAATGGTGTGAATGGTCTTCTATTGGAACGATTTGATATAGTTCTCTTCACTTTCCTTCTCATTCCTTTAATACTATCACTAATAATTAATAATCAAGAAATAATAGATTGATGTAATACATGTACACAAACACTTTCTTTCTCTCCCTCCCTCCCCCCCCCACTCCCTCTCTCTCTCTCTCTCTCTCTTACGTGATGCTCTTTTAATGGTTCCAGTATCAATGGGTCCAATG